AATGTCAGGCAACAGGCAACAGGAACAGGGAATAGAATTTCTGACGCGTTGGATTGGTTAGAAGAAAATTTTCGACGAATCCAACGCGTCAAAAATTCTATTCCCTATTCCTATTGCCTGTTGCCTGGCATTGTGTGATAGGCTTCAGACCGTGACCTAACCTATCGTTCGGACATTATGAAAATGCAGAGTTGATTTTTGTGCTTTTTTCGGATGATGTTGAAATGAATAATAAGCAACAAGTCAGAGAGTTGGCTCGAGGAAATGGCGGCGATCGCGAGAATCTCGCAGGCGAACGTCGTGCAAGCCACGAGAAAGCATACCGCCACCGTGTTTTTCTTCCACGGTTCTGGTAAGATAACGTTAGTCTTTCTGGTTGTATCGTCGGACAAAGGGACGCAATTGGACTTTCAAAACATAAAAAAAAAAGAAATAATGCAGATCCCTTCGCCACAATCGACGCGTATTTACGCTCATTCCATTTTTGCAGGTGGCACGGCGGAGGATTTAAAAGAATGGGTTGACATTCTTAACAGAGAAAAGCTGCAGTTTCCGCACATAAAGTTAATTTATCCTAGCGCCCCGAGCCAGCCGTACAGACCTAACGGCGGAATGGTAGCGCGACACAATTGTCATTGACTCTGGAATGCTCGTTGTAAAGTCTTTCATTGATACAAATGTTATGAAATGTATGAATGCACATTCGGAGATTCTTGGGGCGAGTGTTAGCGTTCCAGAGTTAAACGCGTATCTTTTATAGCTTCCCATACAGCACCAAAGCTTACAGACATATTTCAGAAACATTGCAGCATTGCAACTATGTTTTCTGAAATGTTTCCAAAGGCTTTGATGCTGTATGGGTTGTCGATTAGCTGCCGAGATTCACCAAAACTTGGTTGTAGGTGCAAAATGTGTGGTTTGACCGCATAGCGATATCTAATCAAGCGCCGGAACACGTGGAATCGGTCAATTCCATGTGCCAGTACGTGTCCGAGTTGATCGACAGAGAAGTAGCCGGCGGAATTCCGTTCAGCAGAATAATTCTGGGTGGATTTTCGATGGGTGGCTGCCTCGCGTTGCATTTAGCGTACAGATACCGACCCACCATAGCGGGCTGTTTCGTTATGTCCTCTTTCTTAAACAAGAGATCTATAATCTACGAGGTCAGTGTAATAAGATAGGAATCGAACTCTCAGTTGAAGCATTCTTTGTAAGAAGAATTGTAGAAACACTTGACTTACAAGAGGTTTCCACAAAATTAAAACTGAACTGTTCGGGACTTGGTTAGGTGAGGCGTGGAGGGATGGATGTGCGAGCGTGAGCAGATGGCTTGTAAGATTATTTAAGAGTGTATTATAGAGAGGTAGGTAAGTGGTAGATAAGGAAAGTAGGGAGGAGGTCGAGTAGAAGAGATAGAAATGAAGGCGGAAGGAAATAGGCAGAGGAAGAGAGGTAGGATGGATTGAAAAGACGGGCGGGCAAAAAGAGAGGTTAGGATAGGAAATCAGGCAAAGTAAGGCATAAGAAGGCAAAAAAGATGATGGGGAAGGGAACGAAGGATAAATGAAGGAAGTTGGACTTAGAAGGGGATAAGAAAAGTAAAAAGTTAGCTTTGGAAAGATACCGACAACGAGGGCAAGCGAGGTTATAATATGTTGAGAGGTAGGAGAGAACGAAAAAACGGGCGGGCGAAAAGAAAGGTTAGGATAGGAAAACGGGCAAATTAAGGTATAAGCGGAAGGAAATAGGCAGAGGAAAAGAGGTAGGATAGATTAAAAAGTTAGCTTTGGAAAGATACCGACAACGAGGGCAAGCGAGGTTATATTATGAGAGAACGAAAAATCGGTCGGGCGTAAAGAGAGGTAGGATAGGAAATCAGGCAAATTAAGGTATAAGAAAGCAAAAAAGATGACGGGGAAGGGAACAAAGGATAATCAGAGGAAGTGGGACTTAGAAGGGGATAAGGAAAGTAAAAAGTTAGTTGTGGAAAGATACCGATAACGAGGGCAAGCGAGGTTATAGACATAATAAGAGAGGAAATAAGGCGCGAACTAGAATGCATGGGAATGAATGATAAAAGAGATAGAGGAAAGGTTAATAACAATAGGATAATAAAACAAAGAGGGAGAAATGGAGAAAGGGAAGAAAAATGAGAAAGAGAGGATAGAGAGGTAGGTGGCGAGGAAGGTAGTAGCACCGTGACAGGTAGATTAAGTAAAGGGATAGGAAGCAGGAGAAGTCCAGGGAGGGACAAGGAGGAAAGGAAAGACAGGATAATCATAAAAGATTGGAAAGTAGAGGGATGGATAGAACATAGAGGGATAAGTAGAAAAAGGGAAGAGGAAAGGGAAAGAGAGGGGATAAGAAAAGTAAAAAGTTAGTTGTGGAAAGATACCAACAACGAGGGCAAGCGAGGTTAAACGAAGCGAAGGAAGGAGATGGATAGGGCAAATTCGAAGCTTGGTAATAGATTAGGTGAAGATAAAATAAACAATTTTAGGATAAAAGAAAGGGTGGACTCGGATTACATGCCTCTGTCGATGGAGATAGGAGACAAAGGGAGGAGGAAAGAAGAGGAAGAAGAAAGTCCGGAAGAAGAAAGAAAAAAGAAGATCTGTAGGAATATAGAAGCAATAGAAATCCACTTACTGGAATTATTGGAAGGAGTAAGACTGGAGGAAGGAATGGACAGAAGAAAGGGAGGAGAATATAAGGAAAAGGAGGAAGGCGGCAGGGATTGACGGACCCAGGGAGGCTGAATATACGGAGGAATCACGATAAAGAAAGGACTAGTTGATATAATAAGACAGGAGCGGAGAGAAGGAGTGATTCCTAAAGTCTGGGAAACCAATGAGTCAGTCCAGTTCTACAAGAGGGAGATTAGGAGAGGGCCGAAACCTACAGGGGCATATATTGCTTGTCCCTGTTGGATACGGCTTGCAAGGTGCAGACGGTGGTGCTAAGGAGAAGATTGGAGAAGGAAGTGGAAAGAGAGGAGATACTGGAGAGCCAGGGAGGACTGAAGAGGATCTCGCGGAGGAATTTTTAACGAGGAAGGAGTAAGGCAGGGGTGTGTGCCGAGTCCAAAACGGTGAAAGTCAGGTTTTTAGAGCAGGTAATAGTATGGAAAAGAGTTTGGAAAATTTTGGGAATTATGTAATAGATGAAGATAAAGGAAAGATGGAAGGATAAGTAAGGCGGAAAAGATGAGCAAGTCACTGCGGAAATAAGAAATTAGAAGTAAGAAATAAGAAGGGAAAGAGATTAGGGTTGGAGAGTAGAGAGAGTAATAACTAGTCATGGGTAGGGAAATTGAAGTTCGGCGATACAAATTGTAATATAATGGTGATAAATAGATTCCCTTCGTTAAAAGCGGCGATAAGTAGATTTAGTAGAAATAGATAGATTTAGGAGCGGATAAGATAATAGGTAGATAGATAATAATAGAGTAGTGAGGAGTGGATGTATGAATGAGATAAGATTTTATTGTAAACCAAGTCCCACTTTCTGGCTGTAAGCTAAAGTGAATAAAAGCTGATTGATTGAAAACTGAACTGTTCAATACTGTTATTTTATTGCTCATTTATTAATTACAATTGCAGCATTTGAAAATGAATCCGCAGAATGGTAAGGTGCCGCTCGTTCAGTACCATGGCACGCTAGATAGTTTGGTTCCCATTGAATGGGGCGAGGAGAGCGCTAAGAATCTGAAGGATCTCGGAGTAAGCGTGAAGTTTATGCCGCTGCAAAATATCGAACACGAGTTGGATCGCGCGGAGATTCAAAGTTGGAAGGACTGGCTTCTCGATCTCTTGCCAGATAAATGATACATAAATTAGTCAGAATTAAAACAACTTATGCTCTCTGGCAAATAATTTTTATTTAATAAAAATATGACGTTTCGACCAGTAATACTGGTCCGTAATTTTTGGAGATTGAGTTGAAAAATCCATCCTCTTGATTAAACACCATTTTTTCAGTCCAGGTGTGTAAAATAAATGTTACATAAATTGTTAAGTAATGCTCAGAGTATCAGTTCGTTCTGCACCAGCACGGACTGGATAAAACAGGCTTTAAGCCTAATACTCGAGAAAGGAGAAGAAGAACAAATTGTTAAGTAAGAATGTTGAGATTTCTGTGGGGCAGGGGGGTATACTACAATCGTGTTATATTTGTTTTTGTATTTGTTATGTAGTGGTAATAATAAATGGAGGTTTTATTACGGTAGCCAGGCATTGATAAATCTAAGCGTTGAAAGAGTGATAAATCTAAGAAAGACCCTGACTTCTGCAGTACGACAAGATGAATACCGCCATTATGTCATCGTTAAATGATTATATGGTACGTGCACGTCATGAATAATGTTAATTCGCAAGATCGATGAATTGGCCCCGACCTTCAAAATATTTAAATCCTTCCACATCTCATTGATTTATTTTGTTCCTCAAGTAAATGCTTCTTTCTCCTCGGGTTGCAGGCAATATTATTTTGGGAAAGTTATTTGAGAGACGCAAAAGTTGTTACGACGAACGAAAAAATAATGTTAATACTGTGCCATGTTTATTGATTTTAATCGTTTTGATAAGTTCAAGAGGTAAAAAGTTGTATCTTAAGTAGACATCAGTTCTAAAAATTTATTTGCTGGCTGAAGTTTTACGCGAAACCAGCTCGGACATTTACCCTCGGTCTGCGAATACCTATATTAAATTTAACGTTCATTATTAAGTAAAACTGGGAATTTGAATAAAATCGATGCTATCCACTTGACCCGCTTTTTATGCGAAACGAACGAGCGCGTTCACTGTTGGCCACTCGCGTTTGTTACATTACGGGTGGTCTCTCGTTCAGATCGATCCGTTTTTCGACTTTTACATTATTGCTGAGTTCATTATACATTATTGTACATATCTTACTAATCGACCCGACAGTCCCTCAGTTAAATCCTTAACTAGATTCTTAATTAGATCCTCGAATACAATTCAGTTCTCGTGAACGATTGTCGCTTGCGAATCATTTCTTGGATCCTCCCTCGAATGTGATCAACTGTTCAATAAGTTGGCATCGACTTTACATTTGGGTACGAATCTCGATCAGAATCGATTACATTATTTTCCGACAATTAAGAAAGAGGAACGCACCCAGTAAGCAAACTGTCTACAGCATAATAATAGATTGGCAGCAAATTTGCTTAGATATTACAACAGATCCAGTTATCCGTGTTTAAACATCAGCTTTACCGGTCTGTCGATATAATCCGACAGCAGATTGTCGGTTGAAATCGAACAGAATTTGTCATTTTGTTGATATCTAAATGAATAAAATGAAATTTAAGAGAATTAAATTTGATGGAATACATTACTGCTAGCTTTAGGTACGTTGTACTTTTTATACACGCATATGCATGAATATTGAGTTCAATCAATTGTTATATTATTATTTTTACAGACAGTTGTGCTTTATATACTGAGTCCAGTCGTTGGTCGCGTCGTTAACATAATAATTACATTGTGCGATACTTGATTGACGCTTTACTGAACTTTAATTTGTTAATCGCAATTTTGAGGCCCGTCCGATGCGACCGCGTCCGAGTCTTCAAGCGGCAGCTCACACCCTACATGGAAACGAGAGAGCCTCCTCGACTCTCCAGCCCGCCAGCTGTGCACCGACGAGGCGGCCGAGGGTGAGGACGGAGCGGAGTCGCGCCGACGAGTCCACCGGCGGACTCGTGCGCAGTGAAACGGACGGGGCGAACTGCGACGGAATTGCTGGCACTCCCCCTCGAGGAGGCGGTGGGTGGTAGGTAAACCCCACTGGCCTGGCGTCGTTCTCGCCACCGACGTCGCGTCGTGACACCGACGTCGTTCATGCCTCCGTCTCATGTTATCGACTCGCGCGCGAGGGACGCGAGACGCCGCGCGCGCGCTTATCAATCGCGACGACACGGAGACGCATCTCGCGACGCGTGGACGTCCGCGGGGGGATCGGCGCTCGACGACGAGCGGAGAACAAGGGGAACGTGAATCGGCGCATCCCTCGGAGCTAAGAATACCACCGTAGGGAGAGATCTTTAAAAGGAAAGAGAATATACGCGATATACACACGTACGTACGTGCACGCGCCCCTGTACACGTATAAACACAAACGGGGTGGAAGCGTGCAGTGTAAAACACTGGAATCGATACCCCGCGTTGAGAAGTTCCGCAGGGCGAACGTGAACCATAACATTTGAGGGAGAGAGCCGCGGATGCTCGGATGGACGTGCCAGTAAAGTGATTATGTGGTGGACGTGGCCTGAACGTGTTGCCGAGGGGTGAATCTAGGTCATCGTGAATGGACTCTTTCTCGACGCGCGGAATTAAGTGTAGGATCTCGCGTTCTACCCGAAGGGACGAGGGTTCTCCGGAGCGAGCGCGATTGAGTATAATTGTCGGGTACGTCGAAGCTGCGCGCTTTTAGGCCCGTCGGAGGGTGTTTCTGCCGAGGGGCGAATCGTAGGAGGCGACCTCGGAGAACTCCGTCACGTCCCAAGATTAAACGGTTCTCTTTGAGATAACGTAACCGCATTAAGATGTCAAATGTGGCGACGATGTGTTAATTAATAATTTAATTGCGACAATCACGTTTACACGTAATAACATTGATTGCCACGTTGTCGCGTTTCGATCGCGATATAAACGACACGAGGGGCAATTAGCGGCGAAATTAACGCGGCGGAAACTGGACCAGGACGGGCGCGGTATCTTCGTGCGATCCGCACGCGATGACATCGCTTGTCGCGTTCGAGGGAGCGATTTCTCCGCGTCGCCTTTCGGGCCCCGAGAACGCGTAATGGTGAACGGTATCGACGGTAAATAATATGGCGCGTGTTGGCCCGCAGTCGATGACGTCAAGGAACGAGGTGCACGTAGACGGTTCGATGTAAAGAGGCTGGGCCGACGAAAGTGGATACAACGAAATTTCCCAAAGGACAAGAAACGAATTTCCCAAAGGGCGCGCGGGAGCATCGGCGAACGACGTGTTTTGCAGAGACGGACAGCGGCGAGAAATGGATTCGTTCCTAATCATTTCGACGATTCGCGCGTCGTCCGAGGAGTGAGACATGCGAGGCAAAACCCCTCGCTCATTATCTCGTAAGACCGGAGCGAGTCCTTCTCCCGGTTTCTTAAAATGTTTCCATCTGTCTTACATGTAAAAAGCTTGAACGCACTGTGATATTTTAGAGGATGGCACTGAGCTTCGTCCGAGGAGAGAAAGGAACGTGACGCGATCGGGTCTGCATTTTTCGAGAGATTCTCAGCGCGCTTTCCTCCACGATCTTCGCGGACGTCTTCAAGATTCCTTACGCGACAAATGCGGAAATTTTTTTTCCTCAGGAGAGACGAGACTCTCCGAGCCGAACGTATCGATTTTTCACTTGAAAGACTTTAAACTATCTCGGCAAATAGGGCGAACGCCTAAGAGACGGCTGAAGGGATAGATTAAGATAAATCTCAAAGAGAGAGCGAGCGAGAGAGAGAGGGGGGTGAAGCGTTCCAAGGGGTTGCAATATATCGAGTGCAGGGTTGGCGAGAGGAGCGAGAGAACCGAGAGTGAGAGATCGGGACGAGTGGCGTTCCTCTCGATTGAGAAATAGAGATATCGCCGAAGCAGCAGGTTGATACACACAAAGTGGGGACGTTGTGGAAAATGGGTCAAGAGTGTCTCGGCGACGGCAGTGTGGCGGCTTCTACTTGACGTCTCGCGTTGAATTGTCACGAGAAATCGGTACTGCCGAGCCATATCGAGCGCTGTCGCGCGGATTAATTGAGACAGGGTCCACTCGGACGGGAGAACCGCAGATCCCGATGGTGTTGTTGATCGCAACGTCAGTGCGAGTCGAAATAAGTGTGCCATTGCGCGCGTTTATCGCCAATTATTAAATTCGCATCCGCGCGAATAGCTATTTTTCGTTGATCGATTGCAATGCAAGTCGATTAAAAGTTTACGAATTAAATTGATTTAAATTTCAGCTTGCAGAGCGATGCGAATCGCACTCGCTTCCTCATAATTTCACGATCGATGAAAGATCCGTATCTGGATGTTGATTTCGTGATTAAGGAATTCGAAAGAGGTACGAGGACGCCAAAGGACTGGTCGGTCTGTGCGATTTAATGAGACCATCGAGAGTGCAACGGGGAACGCAAGCTCGATACGGTGCATCGTGCAAGAGATGCATCGTTTATCGCGGCAGAAACGCATCCGGTCGTCGTCCACGTGCTGAAATCCGCGAGTCGTCGATGTGACCGTGCCGTCGCCGTCACTTCTTCCGGGGAGACGTAGTCTCCTCTCAGCCTGACGAATTCGACGAGGCTTCAGTCATTTTTTATGGTCTACGGATCGCGCAGAGCCACAGAATCAGCCACCACGGGGATCGCTTGGCTCCACAACATCACCGCTCAAGGTAAATTATTTTTACCCCTGTCCGATTTTATTTACGTAAAAAGTTGCTCGAGCAAATCTCGTGGATTTTTAACAAGCAACTTGTTCGTTTTGTCCCGCACGTACTTAAAAATGTTAAACATGGCTACGTTGATTAACTTACTGAAATAACTGCTATTGAAAATTAATAGCATACACATCTCTGCTTAAATTCTTATCACTTGTACGAAAAGAAAATTGTTTATTCATAAATAAATTTATACTGCACTCTACTGTGATTTATTACAGTGTTGTAGTACAGCTAAGATTTATTGCAGTGTATGATTTAATAACAATAGTATGCGATATGTAAAACAATGCTCATTATAAATTTTGAAGTTGATGGATTGGCTTTGCAGTATAACCACCGTATCATAGTTTAATAATAATGCAAGTTGCCTGCACCGTTGCTCTCTCGAGCTGTGAGATCGGTCAACTTCTTATCAAATTGTGTCTATGTTTTTTTAAGCATTATCTTTAATCACACAGAGTGCCGGCCATGGAGATTAGGTGGTGTTGTAAAACTTTACACGCGAGCGCGCATAAAGATTGATCGACTGTGTCCGATGCTTGCCCTACTCTCTCAATGCCTATGTAACATATTACGATGATCGCATAAAGCTTTACTTTCACCGTCGTCAAAGGGGAGAACTATGAAATTCGGCCTATTAGCATAAGAGAGAGTTCACGCACGTAAAACAGTTTCGTCCACGTTTACGTAATTCATTATTCATAAGGTATACTGCAAACAGGAAGTAACTTGAATTTAAAGTTTTAATATGTAATTACAGGGCGACAAGAAGTTATAGCTTAGTTGAAACATTGTTAATAATCTTATATTTTAATAATTAACTAAATATAGTCTTATCTGTGTCAAGCAAATAAAGAAGATGGAAATCAAGTAGTTCTTAGAATAGAAAGCTCACAGCCTCTATAAAAAAAATTGCAACAAAATTATATAAGTATACATTTTTAAGTGCTGATTTGTCCAAAATTGTACGTAATTAAAAGATACCGTTCACCATTTGTATGAATGTGATGAAAAAGATCTTTACGAAATAAATCTCATTTCTATCTCATTGTCAGTCAGATCGTTTTAAATGTATAATTGAAAAATTGGTGAAAAAGTTTATTCCAAGTGAAGTTAATTTTTATTCCTTACATAAAAAGTATAAAATAATGAAAACGATGAGATTTCCAACTGATAGTTGAAGAAGAGATAATCGATAATATAAAGGTCGTTCGAAAAAGAATTCAAGAGACTTCGGATCTATTAAGACATAATTTTATTGACAAGTTCATCTATTCGTGAGTAACAGTACGTATTTAATTGCAGGTGAAATGAGTAGCAGCGGTGGATTCGGCGTCGGCGTCGCCGTCGCCGGTGTCGCCGGCGGGCCGACCCTCGCGGCCGCCCAGCAGGGTCAAGGAGTGGCCGCCCTCATGGTGATGCTCGCCGTTCTGTGCTTCATCTTCGCGTATTGCTGCTGGGGTGCGCCCTTCTGCCGTTCCCTGTGCAGACGGCATTGCTGCTGCCGCTTGGAAGATCCCGATCCGGATCCACGGTTCGGCGGCAGCGACCAGGCTATGGTAGCGACGCCGACGATTATCCTTCTGCCGCACGGCAGAATGCTCGTCGTCGACGGCACGATTTTCACCCAGTTCCAAACTGATCCCACAGGTAAAATTTAGAATTTTCTGCTTCTGGAATTAGAAGAGTGAGATTTCATTATAACTTCAATTCGCTACTCAAGCGGTGTAATAAAATCAATTATTTAGAAAATAGTATAGATGATCGAATGAGAAGTTAAATTTAGAAAAATTAGAGACAAATCTGTCTTTAATTTAGACAATTTGTTTAAATTATAGATGACATTACAGAAATTTTTGATAATATCCATATAGCAGATACAGTTGTGTATAAAATATACAAGAAAAACTTAACTTGTACAGTTTTTTTAGCAAGTATCTGGAATAGAAAGAAAAGAAAAATATTATTTTCTAAACGATTGTTAAAATTACCGAGAGTACAGCAAATGTATTTTGTATACTTGTGGAATTTTTATAAATTTTGTGAATAAATAATACAAACATAAAATTGTTGGCAGGTTTAGACTTGGTGGAACTCGGTGACAGCGTGTTGCGCGCTCAGAGAAATCCGCGGAGCGTAAATCGTCACCAGTTACAAAGCAGTCAAGGCAGCATCCTCGAAATGGACGCTGAAACACCTAGCAAGGACAGCTTAGGCTCCGTCGGGTGTTTTCCGCCACCCACCTACGAGAGTATTTACGGCAAAGAGGAGACCGACATGCCTCCCTCTTATTCCGACATTCTTTTGCACAGGTAACATTATTTTCGTACAAAGCGAAGAACTGTTGATCATCTCAAATTCAACTCAATCCGCAGATTCGCCAATCTACCGCACGAGATTGATATGCACGGCTACTGCCGCGACGGCAAGGAGGAGATCGAGATGCAGAGTCTGGACAGCTGTCCGCATATCATTGGCAATCCGCTGAACTCGATGCCCGGATATCACCCTTACGCTACGGTGACAAGTCTGTCCAGTCTGCAGAGCTACCCCCGACGGAACGTTTCGCGCAATCCGTCCATCATCAGCAATCCGCTGGACAACTTTTACGTGGACAACGAGCTCAGTCTCTACCGTCTCAGTCGGGAGACAATGCCGCGGGTCTCCAGTAACGACGCGAACCTCGAGACCTTCCGCGCATCCCACGACGAGATGTCGTTCCGCGTTCCGCTCGACGAGAACGAGAATCATCGGCACGCGAGCCACAATAATTATCAGGTCGCCGGTAACGAGCTGATGAACACGAGGAATCGCGCCCGCAGCGCTTCCAGACTGAGCCAGGACAGCCGCAGGAGTTCGTTGAATCGCGATGGAGATCAGCATCAGGTTTTCGTCAGGTTGCCCGATCCCGAGGAGATCGAGGCTGCGCGAGACAGACGTGCCGATGAAGATCAGCGATCTGCTCGAACGTACCGCGAGGACCAGAACATCAGAAATCTGCATCTGGATCATCCCCAATTGCAAGACGAGATCAATCGCAACATCGTCGACGACGATCCCCGATACTTTGCGAGGAACAGGCGACTGGAGAATGAGGACAGGAATCAAGACGAAGCCGAGGGAGTCCAATATCCCGACGAGGAGGCTGGAAATTTCGGCGCGCTCGCCGATATTCGCGAGAGCAGAGTATAATCCGAACTTATGCATTCCTTTGAGCAACTGCTAAAGAAGATATCGTCAAATTCGAAGTGCTTTAAAAGTAAAAAAAATTCGTTTAATCCTTCCAAGTAACACACAGCTCAAATTTGAGGAAGTATTTATGACCAAAATAATTTTTATCTTCATCTTTATTAGAAACTTGTTGAACAAGTCACAGCATTCTAAGTTGCAATCAATGTTAACGTCTTCTTTTAATTTCGTGGAAAAGAATAGGTACATGCTTTTAATACAGTGCAAATTTGATAAACGTTATAATAACATCTTGCGTGACAGATAAAGAAATTCGCGCAGAAGTTGCAAAGCAAATTTGTACGATGAGTCATTAGGATACTGTTTCATGTTCGCGGATAAACAAGTTGATATCCGGGATTAAAATTTATGGAAATCGAGCCGAGAAATTATGGTTACAAGATAAATATTGCAGAAAATATAAGACGATGTTATAATTGTATATGTATATACATATATATGTGACAATATAATTGTGACAGTCTAGTAATTCGTCACACATACACGTACATACACACACTTGCAGCGTATTTCTGACAGAGTATCGTGCAGTATGAAATTGAACAACGATTTTTCCAACGGAGTCTTGAAAGTATAGTTCTTACGTATAGCGACCAGAAAAGATTGGAAACGTAAAGATAATCATAAGTTCTCTTTTTAGACACGCTGGACGACAAAAAGTATCGAAAATACCAAACGGCTTTTATTCTCTTACAACATAACGTGGATAAAGATTGTCGAGCATGCGATAAATTATATTACGTAATTCTTCCTGATAAAAAAAACAAACATCGATTCCAAGGGATTAGCGCAAGCTGAGCGATTTTCGAGGGAAGTTTGTATGCGAAAAATTGCATTTAAATCTAACAAACGAATCGTAGCAAAGTTAGCTCAGTCCGTCCAGGCTTTAACAAGCACACTTAAGTTTCACGAGCATCACCGAGCAGCAATTTAATCATGATTAGCGATTTCCTCCTCCTCGATATTTTATAAGTAAGCTAAGCAGATGCCATGACCATTAAACAGTTGTTGTATCATTAAAAATCGTATGCTTCTTATATTATTTATAAAATACTCTTCACACTATTTTTGAATGGTACTGTCCACTAGATACATCGAACGATTTTAGTGTTTGCGGAAAGGATAGGACGAAAATAAATCTACGATAACTAAAACAGAAATTCAATATGACATGACAAAAATTTACCTTGAGGTAAAAAGCTAAGTGAACTGTATCGCGTATTAATGGGAGTTTCAGGAACCAAAGAAAGGTGTCGCATATTAATGGGGGTTTAAGGAACCAAAGAAAGATCCGTAATGAAATTGGATAATCAGAGATACAGCGAAGTATCAAAACACGAAATCGTACCAAGCATACTTGAGAAGATGAACGATAATAACGGTTGGCTTTAGATACACTTCTTACGTACACATATGCGTGTAAGATAATTATAGAAGGTGTTATAAAAGTTGTACACGTTATCACAGTTATGATCACTACTGTGTATCATAAGGATAAACCACTGACCGAGAGCGGTACCGAGGGAATAAAAATTCTGCGTGAAGCATATGTAATACTGTGTGCCTTCCTAGTTTTTAGATTGCTAAATGAACAGTGTAGACAACGGGATTTTGGTTTCACGCTGATCATTTCGACCAAGCTCTTTTTCTTCCTTCATTTTGAATCTAATTACAATAGAACGATAAGACGCAACGTTATTCTATGGAAAAGGAATATCCCCCTCGAACGCAAACGATATCAATAAATTAATAAACGATATCAGTATAAATTGTTTCTCATCACGAGAAACATATCTAGAGTTTTATTGTACATATTGTTATATTTAATTATAACGAACACCGGATTATAAAAAAAAAACAGAAGGCAAGGCCAACTATACGAGTGCACAAATTAATTAATTCATAATTTGTTTTAATTCACAATATTTAGGGATGACGGCGTGGCTCGGTATGAGAATGGTCGACTTGCATTCAGCGGGTGCCGATTCTTATCTCGCGTATGCCTCGGTTTTATAAGATTAATTGGAAGGCTATGAGGTAAAGGAGTTCATTTACAAGTCACAATATTTACATGTTTGTTCCAAGAAATATCAATACATTTGACTATGTACACAATCGATATCGACATTTTTATGACTAATTATAGAAAGTGTCGTATAAAAAAAGGCTCACATGAGAAGGAACTTATTTTCAATCCACGTCGCTGTCCATGTCCTCAGGAGCTGAAGAATCCTCTTCTTCTACATTCTTCTTGTCCCAGTCTTTCAACTTGGCCCCCATGACAAAATCGTCTCGAAGAACACTCCACATTTTGTGATCCTTAAAACAAACGTGTTTCTATTGTTATACACAATTGTACATCGCAATGTAAGGCAGAATGTAACAATATCAATAAACACAATTATATATGGCCTTCATAAACGCGTTCAAATAATGCTTAATATAATAAGAATATTAAATATATTAACATCAAATCCAAGTTGTACGGTAAATAAGCTTTGCTCACTTTGTCCTTATCGTTTGTTTGCTCGACAGGCTTCTCAGGTTTAAGCCCGTTACCAACCGGTGTGCTTTTACTGCCGCCCATAAGGACATCAAGGAAAGCATTTTTGTCGATACTCTTGAACACCTGTTCGCGCTTTCTCTCCAACGGCCCCGCCTGCGATAATTTGTTTTTAATCTCCACTTGCTGCTGCCTCACCGCATTGAACAGTTGCACGACTCCTCTGCATAACACAACATGAACAATTGACCAATGGACAACAGATAGAAGATTTGCAAATGTAACTTACTTTGTGGCTATCTTTTGCAACATTCTTTCATACTCCCGGTCTGTAATGGATGGTTTTACTCTAATACCACACTTCTTTGGTATTCTAGGTTTAGTCGACGCAGCATTCGCCGCGATACTCTCCTCATCAACAGCTTCCTCCGCTTCCGCTTTCACCTCCTCTTTGACTCCGTCAACCTCAAAAGAAGGCTCCTCTTTTTTCTCCCTTATTTTCACGTCGCACAACTTCTTCGCCTTGGCCAGTACAAGTGTCTTCTTTCTCTTCGGTTTATTTGTTTTTAGAATCTTCTGCATAACATCAGCCCAGCCTGCATTCGAAGTAGCTCCAGTACCGTGTGACGCCTCGCCAGTGTCATCCTCCATCTCCGAGCTGCCCGACTCTTTTTCCTCGTAGTCACCGTCGTCCTCATTATCACTCTGTGCTGATGCTGCGCCAGCACAGTCTATCTCGCCTGTCCACGGTTGCACTGCAATGAGATACCAATTCAACTCGGCATTACATCAAGGCAATTCTCGGAACGTTACTACAAGATCAATAATAACAAATTAATAGGAATGCGTGGTACAGCGAGATAGCAGTCGACTTGTAGTTGGCGAGTCTCAGATTTTACTCGAATCCTCTTGTGTACCTCGACTTTACACAAGATGAAGAAATTATAAATACAAGAAATGACGCTCATTTCGTAATATATTTCAGATCGGTATTTCAAAAAGATAAAAAGGTAACAACTCGAATATGTGTAATCTGATACCAAGACTTCCCTCTCCTTCGTTGCTCTTAATTACAAAATTGCTCTCACAGGAAGCTATATGTCACCTATTTGATTTTTATAAACAATCTTATTCACATAATCGCTTACTTGGCACTGGTAAAAACGTAGATGCTCGTCGTTGTCGTACTTATTTCGTTCCGGCGACTACAAACAAAACCACGTGGTAGTGTAGCTTCTTCTTCTTTTTCCTCGGGTTAGTTGGCGGTAGTGTAGCTTGGAGCATAGAGAAACGTTTACCAGGTTTACCTGATACCGTTTTCGCTCGGCTGATTCCAGCGCCTTAAGCCCATTTTCATTTTTGGAACTATTTCGCTACACCCGTTTTCAAGCACTGTCGATAAAGTCTCCACTTGGTGCGTGTCCGTGCTACGCAAGACAGCAATAGGAGCGAGAGAGATGAAGATAACACATGCGAGCCCGGCGAGCCGCGAGGAAGACTCGATCCCGATCTTCCTTCTTCTTATAATAGAAGTGTGTGGACAGCTGACGACATATTGAAGAGTTTTGTTCCACGTGGAAAAAATGATTATCCCAAAATGATTGAGCCCTCTCTTTCCTTCTTTCTCTCTCTCTCTCTGTCTCTCTTTCAGGTTTATAACTGAAAAATATTACATTCCTGTAAATAAGCTATAATTCTCCGCGTTGCAATCTATCATAAAAACACGTTGCCTTCCGCAGCAGGAGACATTAATTGCTGATAACGCGACAAACAAAATTAGCGCGCGGCAGATAGCTGCTCGCGGACGCCCGTTTTTGTTCGCCTCGCGTTTCAGACGCTCGCTGCTCCCTTTGCGGTGTCTCTCGATGACACATTCCAGATTCCGGATATTATTCTATTATTCATTACGCGTCACGCGGATTTGACGACTCACGTGTCATGCACGGGAGGAGCGACGAATCATTATTTTTAGCAGAGCGCGCTCCCCGAGAACTCGCGTCTTCCCACGCCATTCGTTTTCGCTCTGCGGACGCTACCAGGCCGAAGTCATTATGATGCGTGTTTGCCGTGCATAGAAACGATACATCCGGCACGAGATGCGCGAGGCACGAAATATGCGGCATTGTACCTCGTCGCCGTACCGGAGAAAAATCCAAGTGACACGCGATGATCGCGGAAAATTGCCGCGGAAAGATGAAGTCTCGATCATGATGACATCATCTCGTCCTTGTAACAATCAAGCCTGTTAGGCTGACGGCAGAGAACGATCCGTAAACGCTTAAGACTATCTTAATTAGGTCCAATTTCGCCAATAGTGTTTAACTTTAAGCTTAGCTTAATTCGTTCTTTGTCTCTTTTCAACTGTTACTTTGGAAACAGACAAACGTGAATGAGACCAAGATTAAAGTTAAGCGACGTTTGGCGGAAGCGGGGCTGACGTCTACGATTAATTGTAAGACAGTCTTAAAGATCGTTCTCTGCCAGCAGCCTAAGAGCCTGAGCAGAACGGCTGTCTTGTATTCTTAAGTCACAAGAGTTATTGTGCGTTACTTTAAGACAAAGATTTAAAGTCGGCCATTCCAACAGTTACTTTAGAAACAGACAAGCATATGAATTCCACCAAGATTAAAGTTAAGCGACATTTGGTGAAACCGGGCCTCACGAGCCATTCTGCTCAGGCCCTTACTCGGGAAGGAAAAGAAATATGTACAAATGTACCTATGCGCAAAATGAATCTTTTAAAAGAACAAAACTGATCATAAATCAGTAGATACAATTTTCACGGGATTTAATATCGGACACAATGTTTTTCCTATGAGGATTGGGCCCCTGTACTTGCAATTTATAAATATCTCTTAACCATCTCTCTTACAATTAGACTTATTTCGATCTTACTGCACTAAAAAGGCACATATTTCCGCACCTGATACAAACGTTATTACAATCTAAACGCTAATGATCTTCCTTTCTTCTTTTCTCCACTCCTCTGATGTTTGCCGTCCCAGTGCCAACTACGCGTTAACACAAATATCGCCCCGTGTATTAGGCTACGTTTGGTGAACTTATTTCACAATATTGAATGGATGACGGTGATGCGACGGTGATGCAACGGTGACAGTAGTGGCACAACGAGAAAACAAACATGATTCGCAATTTCTTTTCAATGTTGTATCGCGCATACGTAAAACACATTACATATATTATATACGAGACGTCTCGTATTTACATGAAATATATGTAATATATTCATACGTAATACATTAGATGCTAGTTTGTAATAATTATTCTTTTCTATGTAAGTCTAGTGCCTACGCGGACTTTACTAAGGCGATCAACTACGCGGATCTTTGTACAGTCGTGTGGAGAACTATGGGAAGTCTTCGAGAGGAAGAAATTGTTTAGTCGGTCACAATGTACTCGGTATTTCGACGTGTTGTTGCCGTTCTCGCTCAAACTACCCCGTGAAAGTATGGTATCGCGCCAGGTGAAATTATAATAATTTCACCTGGCAAAACCCGTACCAACAAAACGCATAGCATTGTCATCAAAATTATTATATACTAATTATGTACAATAAAGAGATGTCGCGCGATCTGTTTGTCGCGTCCGTAAATTTCTTGACAAAGTAGTTTCAAATAACGAACGCAATTCTTTCTCTGAATAAATGTGAAAGTATAAATATGATGAAAAATGAAAAGTAAGAAACGAGAAGAGTGCGACTCTAGTCCTGCTCTGGTCTGATCTGATCTCCGCTCAAATAATTTAATTAAAAATTGTTGTCTACCTTATCAATGACGCTAAAAAACAATGCGAGCCAAAGTGTTTTGCGTTAAATATATTTTTCCTACAGACACATAAATACATGTATAAATACATGTATAAATGTATTATACATAAATGTATTATACATGTATAAATACATGTATAAATACATATATTTATGTGTCTGTAGGAAAAATCGCGAATCCATGTCGCACCATGTCGTCCCACGAACCCAGCGTATGGTATCCCCGAAACAGATGTCGACGGAGCAATTCGCGGAAGTGCTCACGCAGAAATTGGAGATCGTCGCACGAGAGCAGAAGGCCAACGAGAAACTGGAGAAATATCTGTATCAAGACAACGACGCGTCGAACGGTAACGATGCGTCGGTAGAAACTTGTGGCGCTTCCAAGACTCTCGGCGACGCGCTGAAGGAAAAGTTGTCTATGGAGGAGGACAGCGATCAGGCGATCCTCGACGAGCACGTATCTCGCGTCTGGTTCACTAGGCTCACAGTGAACTCATGGAACAGTGAATTTTGATGACTGCGTTTTGTTGGTACAATTAGAGGAGACTTGTAGAAGACTCATGGAAGAGAATAAAATCCGTGCTAGTTGCAAGCAACGACACCTCAACGTTTCGAAACAGACGCACGAGTTTGCGTCGCAGAGCCAACCGTACGTCCAATCCAATCAGTCCACTTTGAGGAAACCGAAGCAGGACGATTTCACCACTGTTGTGTTCAGTTTCTGTGACGAGCAATTCCCCTACAGGACCAAAATAATTTAATTATTATAATTTATTATTTTACAAAATTTATTACAAAATTATTATATACTAATTATGTACAATAAAGAGATGTCGCGCGATCTGTTTGTCGCGTCCGTAAATTTCTTGACAAAGTAGTTTCAAATAACGAACGCAATTCTTTTTCTGAATAAATGTGAAAGTATAAATATGATGAAAAATGAAAAGTAAGAAACGAGAAGAGTGCGACTCTAGTCCTGCTCTGGTCTGATCTGATCTCCGCTCAAATAATTTAATTAAAAATTGTTGTCTACCTTATCAATGACGCTAAAAAACAATGCGAGCCAAAAGACATGGTAGTGTTTTGCGTTAAATATATTTTTCCTACAGACACATAAATACATCTTTTCATCGGAAAAATGTTCTTCCGGAATAAACATTAGTGCAAAACTTGCAGTCGAAATTTTAGCATAACCAATGAAGTGACTTAAAAAATTTTATTGAAAAATATTTGAGCGGAAAACTTAATGAAATAGTTACTGTACTTGTAATGTGAACAAAGCTTACGAGATACCTTCGAGGACATTCGAGCGACAGAATTAGATGAGGCCATTCTTTTCTTACTTTTCCGCAATGTTCACGCACGAAACGATATTACTCGACTTTGATATTTATCTTTGTCGTCGATTAAAACTACTTTCTTAGGCAATTATGAGAAAGAGGCCGCGTGACAAGCGTTAATATGTATATATGTATAAACACCGAGCGCGCCAGGCTTAGTGGCGGGTCTCTTAAATAATATTTATTGCGGCACTTGGTCAGAATACGCACATTTCGCTTCGTTTTCTTTTATTCAGTCTATTACTCGAGCGCCTTAACCTGCGCCATCACTTTGCCCTCCCACAGTGGCAGAATCTCAGTATCGTCCGTTATCTCCTCTTGTATAACTTTCA